AATAGAAAATTAAATTATAATTTATGTAAAATTAAGATTGCATAGGTGCATCATAAAACAAGGAATATTAAGTTGGCAAAAATATGGTTATAGTGCACTTAATACATTATAAGTTATAGTTGCATTTATTTCATGTAATAAATAACAATAAAATTTATTATTTTTGCTTATTTACAACATTTGAAAATTAATACTGTTGTCATTAAATTAAAGCGTTAACTTATAATACTTCTGATAATACCATGTGAGAAAATTAATACTTATTTTAAATACATGACAGGTAAATTGTTGAAAAACAATATTTTGAATTCATCCATAATGCCATTGGAAATTTTGTTAATGTTAAGGTGTTTCGATTTAACAAATTTATAGTAACAAACATTAAACAAAACACAATTTAAACAGCTATGTTCAACTACCTAGTAGAGATGTGGGCCATTCAGAAAGCAAATACCTTTCCAGTGAACATTAAGCTCGAGTTCGCAAAGATCGCATAGATGAATGGATGATTACATATAAACTCCAGGTTAATTTGAAGCATACGGCAGCATATGATGACACCTATAAAAAAATTGATTACAAATCTTTTTTTATCACATACAAAAAACAGAAGCATTATTATAGCAAACAGAATATTGCAATGTTTTTTGTTTTTATTTAAAGAACTACAGTACCATTAATAAAACGGTTAAAAAAATAATAAAAATAAAATATCAAGATAGAATTTTGATAGTGTATTAAAAAATGTTATCTGAAATAAATTTAGAAAAATAATAATAAATTGTTTTTTCGGTGTTTTGTAAGTGTATGGTGAACATATGTAATTCCATTTTTAGAAATTATACCAATCTAAATTCAAATGGTGAATATTTGTTTTGAGAGATGATGAACCTGTAGCTTGATCATCCTCAATCATCTTGTTCAATGCAAATTGTCTAGGGGTGAAAGAGCTGGTGTCAGCAATGACTTTGCTCTTTCAGCGTCCTTGATTTATTTTGTAATAAATCTAGGTCACATTTGGCTAACTTTAAAAGGACACGATTGACCAAATAACCCATAGACCATCCAGTGAAGAAGGCAAGTGCCAAAACACAATATGCAGACTGGGATGATCCATTCTCAATTCCAATTCTCAGTTTGTTTGTTTTTTCCACATATATTACACTGCTCTTCTACATTTTAACAATAATAGTCCCCCTTTGAGCAAGGTTTATTTTTCCATTGTATTTAATCAATTACTCACATTTAATATTTGAAATCAGAAGTTACGGCAGACAAAAAAACACTAGTTTTTGAACTTCCAGTTTCCAAGTAGATTATTCCAATAAAAGGGTGGTTTACATTAAACACAACATTCTTTATGATTGACATAGAACAATAGGTCACCATGATTGCTGAAATAAGAAAAATATTATTTATTGTCCTCTAATAAGAAGGACAAATGGAAAATACAAATAAATAGAATATTACATTCAAAATCCTATACAACAATATGTTAGGGGCCACAATGGTAAAGGTGTTGATGCGGCGCTTATCACTGCAAGGTAAAGGTCCTGGATTCAAATCCAGCAGCCCTGCATTCGAACCTGATATACTTACAAATGGGCTTTTTTCAAAGACAATGTCTCCCGCAATCGTATTTTATGATTTTCAAAAACAAAAAATTCCTGGTTCGAAGCAAGAGCCACTTCATTCACCTTGGGACATTTTTAGTACAAGTTACTTGAAATTCTCTTTTAACTCCCATAAGTCTTGAGTCCCATTATAAAATATATGACGAGCATTACCCAATTAGGTCCATTATGTACCACTTCCTGCAGATTTAGATTCCTTTATCAAACACTATTCTCTGAACTCCCACAGAACAGGGCATACTCAAAAAAAGTGGCAGGTATCCTCTGAGGCGCATTCAAGTTGCACAAGAATCAACAAGTAAATACCCTACCCCATTTTTGGTAATTAAATTCAAGCAGTTCCCCTCTCACTCTAAGTATTAAAGATATGTGCTAAGTGAACTATTGTAAATTATTTTTCCCCTAGTCTGATTCCAATTTCTTATATAGCGTGTGGAATTTGCTTGGCCTGGTTCTAGATAGCATTTAATTTTTAATTTTAATTTCAATTGTATTTATTAAATTTTTTATTTGGAATGTTTTTAGGGTTTTTTTTTTAATTTCCATATGGACCTGATTGCCTATTTGCACTAAATGTTTTTCACACCAACATACCTTTTTCTAGAATATTAATAATAGAGAATTTTTAATAATTAATAGAATTATAATTTTTAATTATTTCATTATTTGGTGATTGCAGTAATTATTAATTACTATTAGATGCATAATAATTAGTTGTTTTTAATTATTTCATTATTTGGTGATTACAGTAATTAATAATTACTATTAATGATGCATAATAATTAGTTGTTTTTGTAAACAGTATATCATTCAAAATTTTAAGACTAACAAATTCTATGCATCAATTTTTGCAAATTTTGTATCACCTTGCCCTGTAATCGTATATCTAATACATATTTATATTGTAAATTTATATTTTAAAACAAAAGCTTCTCTTCCCATGTCATGGAATTCAGATAATGGTTTAAAAATAAGTCATCCATTCACTGGGAATGTAGCTCAGGCAGCGCGTGAAAAACTTCATCAAAGGACCATTGCAGAAATTAATAGTAGATCTGCTAAGCCAAGGACGTTTTACAACTAGAATAATAGTTCGACTGCTAACTGGACACTCTAGAGGTATATAGACTCAGAGAAGCAGAAACAAACCTGCTTATATTGCCGGGAAGAAGAAGAGACAGCAGGACATGCCCTCTGCTGGTGCAAAGGGCTATGTAGGCTGAGATTCCTTATGCTAGGAGAGAAAAAGCCAGGGCCTGAAGGATACACACAGGAGTCCTTGAAAAAGCTTTGGGATCTGGTAAAAAAGCCTTAAGCTTAATGAGGAGGACTAGATTGCAATGGAGATTCACAATAACCAATGCTAGTCACGATGCGCAGGTCGTAAAGAAGTTGACTCCTACTCTGATCTAATTTAATCCCCTTTCATGAGGTTTACATTCAAAGAGGAAATGACCAAGTGTTGCAGTCTTGGCATTTGACCAGAAAGTGTATTACTCATTGATTTTAAATGTACACTTGAATTTATTTACAAAAATTGCGGGGGGTTTGCCCCTGTCCAACCTTTCCAATTTCTGACCAAATTGACAAATCTTTCAATATATGGGCCTGAAGGTGGAATTTAAAACTTTTTCAATATCTAAAGAAAGGCTTTTCAAAATTCTCAAACGTCCCCTTTTTATTGTATATATTAAACAACAAAAGGATGGTATGTCGTGCCTGATGATCTTTGCATGATATTCCTAAATATTTTAGACCCAGTTAAAAGGCAAAGATTTGAAATCCAATAATTCAGTTAGAGTCTGCAAAATATCATCAGGGAGAGTGAGCAATTTGTACCAAAATTCCATTTTTCTACAGAAACTCACTGCTATTATGTTTCGTGTGTGAATTTCTAATCTGTTGTAAGGCACAGGAGTGTTGATTGTAAAATGAAACAGTCTTGTAAAATACTTTTGTTAGATTCTTTCAAAATAATTGGAAAATTACCAAGTTTTAGATTTAATGCAGGCGAAGAAAAAAAGAATTTTTTTCTTTACTTAGTTCAACTAATGCAAGGAAACGTGTGTTAAATGTTAAATTTTCATTGCATAGGTGTATGAAGTTAAGATATTAGCAAACATCCTAACTCAAATTGATATTTTTTTACAGAGATTTGAATACTTTAAAAAAAGTTAATCGATTAGATAACTTCAAAAAAAAAGAAACCTCACCTCCAAAGTTAACAAACCTCCATGAATTTTCACATTTTATGTCAAACAAAAATGAAAAGTTTAATACAGATAGTTATTGATAGATGTTAACACTAAATACAAATGGAAAATAATAAGAAATTAGGAGAAAGAAAAGAAATCATGCACAATATTCGTTTAATAAAACTACAAAAAATAATAAAAATTTCTAATTGTTAATCAGGAACATAAAACCTGTTTTGTAATAACCTGTTTTATGTATCAACATAAAAAATGTCGATAATTAACATGAATTAATAAAATGTACTTCCCCGTTTTTGTTTTGTCTTATTTTTAAAAACCATAATTTAAAGAATATAACAGGATAGGAAAGATTATTTCCATGTATAGTTGAATGAGTATTTTTAATTTCAAACCAAAAATGTAATAGTGGTAAAAAATTAACAATTACATTAAATTTTAACAGTATACATCCTGAATGTGTCCAATTTATTTTTATAAACACACAAAGTTTTCATTTATTTAAAATTGCAGGAGAAATATTAAACTATGATATTTGTGTCTTTAATGTTAATGAAAGAGGTTCAGAAAAAATGAATGAAAAAAATTCACAGAATATATACAGGAATAGAAGTGATCATTTAAGTGACACAACTTTTGACATAAATAAAACGTTGTGCATGTTTTCCACTGTTTTACAGAGCACCGCAAGAAACGGATGATTTATTTTTAAAAGAAGCGCTTCTTGATAAGAAAATCCCACCATTATTATACCTAGAAAAAAAAAGAAATCATAGATAATATTCAGCTTAAAGTTCCAAATTATGCCTATTAGTAATGCAAGTTGCACTTCCCCATTGTTTCATAATTCAATTCATAAAATCACAACAAATCATGCAATGGAAGAATAATAAAAATTTCCCACTGAACAAATACAAAAGGTGTTTAAACTTAAATTTGGAGAAATACTAGTTTATCTAGAGTTTATCTACAATAATAATTCCAATCTAAAAAAAAAAACTTTCAAACTTAAGAATATAATTTCCCAGAATTTCATAACATTAAAAAAAAGTTATTTCCACAAGGCTAGAAGATTATGTTCTCATGAAATAAAATTTATTTTTTTGTTTTTAACATGCACAAATGTAGTGAGCGGTGAGCAAAAAAAAAGAAACACTGAACTAAATATATATTTTTCTTGGTGTTTCAATTAATCATAATATTTAATACAATAATTATGGAATGTGAAATCAGATCAGCAAGTTGTAACAAAAAATAGTTTATAAGTAAACAAAAAACAATATTACTTACAGTTTTCCAAAATATTAAAATTTAAACATATAATATATTGTACACTTTTGTTTAGTAGAACTTACAAATCTTAAAAAGCTTGAACACATTTTTTTTTTTTTTTAATTAAATTGGTAATCACATGAACATGATTTCTACAAAGTATCGTCATTTATATTCCTAGAGAACTGATTAAAGGCACTTGCAGCATATTGTACATTACATTCGACGACTTCGGACCTCCAATCACAACAATCCTATTGATTTTTTTTCCCTACCTGAATAAAAATTTCTTAACAATCTAAACGTTAACAAAAATGTTGGCTAAGAATGTAAATTTTGTCTTCGCAATTGACACCTCGTCCTACACACTTTTGGCTTCCTTTTTTTAAATCTTCCTGTAAAAATGTCTAGTCCCGATTGTGTATGGCGTATAGTGAAAAAAAATGGATGGTTCATGACAAGTCTTATTCCAAAGTCGAAGGATCTAGTAAGGAGCATAAACTCTGCCAAAATAAAAGGTTCAAAATAATTTTCAATTTGTTTATAAACAATCCTTATTTTCTTAACACACAAAAAACAAGACAAAATATAATGTAAATAGTTAAAGATGGAGCTCAAAATAGCATAGGAAACTTCTTCAGTTTTTTACACTTGGAAAATAACTCATTCAAGAACTTTTACCTGATCAATAAATAAAAGAATCTTATAGTTAAATACTATTGATCCAATTATGTGAAGAGGCTGTACCGCTAGTGCCTCATATTCAGAAAGGATATGTATCAATGTTTCTGGTTTCTCTTGACAGGTCGGCATGTTTCTTTCTCTGCTTTTCCCATTTTCTTTATATGATAGTGAAGAAGGTAGTAATATTAGAGATCTATAATTTTCATAAAATCTCTCTTGCTGAGAGAGAAAAGTTCTTTTGCCTTCCTTTTTTGAGAGATTTTTTAATCTCTTAGTTTGTTATAGCTGGTGCTTTCGCCCAGTACTCAAGTTTTTCTTTCTCAAGCCATTTTTCCAACTCTATTTCTAGCACATTCTCCCGTGTGCGTAGATGTGATGCCAATCCATTCATCATTTTCGTCACAGAACCCAGCTTACGGTAACCTTGCTGTGTTCTCCTAGGGCCAGAGACAATTTAGGCACTTCCAGACAAATTTGAAGCTAAATCACACACATTTGGTGCATTTATAGCTGGCTGACTGTCTAAAAGTATGTAAATCCGTGCATTTTTCATTTTTTCCTTTATCAACTGCTGTGCACACAGTTGGATTTATGGACTCAGCTTGGAATTTAGTTGAGTAATTCATCCCCTTTAATATCATATTTATTTTAAACAATTGTTTACACAATTAATCACTCTTTAAGCAGGTCTTGAAATTTGTCATTAACTATATCCTCTAACCATATTATGCAACTTATCTATTTTTTATGACATCTTCAAATAGCAATGAATTGAATGATTATCAAGACCATTTTCATTTGCACATGTCTGTTTCAAGATTAAAAAACTGAAATATTTGTAATGAGCGTAGTTGAGGACACAGATTTTCCATCTGGCCGAGATTTGAACTAATGTATTATTTGATTATTCACAGCTGAGGTATATCAAAATATTGTTGAAAAAATTTACAGTTAAAATTTTATTGTTTAAAAAAATTGGAAAAATTTGTATGTTAACAAAAAGTTGTGTGTTATTTAATTTTATTTGAAGTAGGGCCTAGTGGTAACTTTTACAATAGTTGCCTATACCATTTTGAACTGTATATTATAATAAATAAATATGTTTGTAAATAATTAAACTTGAGATAAAAGAAAAAATATGACGAACAATTCGCAAACTTGAAAGCCTCATTTTAGTACATATTATCGGACGAAAAAAAAATCCACTTGGTGATTTAACATTTTAAAAACTATCATTAAACTATGTTAAAAATTCATCCAAACAACATAACCATTTTTTAAATTGGATGCTGTACCATTGCAGTCTACCCACTGTATGCATGCAAACAGTTTACAACAGGCAGATGAAATACCCATGAGCATGATTATCCTTTTATTAGCTAATTATCTTAAGTATATATATTATTATTGATAATTGATTCGTTAATTAAACCGAACAAGACTCTGTACTATTGAAAGCCTAAAATTGACGAAAAAAATAAAACTTAACACACCAGTTTTAGTGACTTAATTAGAGAATTTTGGATCATTTTGGTGTTTCAGCTTTTCAAAAACAGCGAGGATAGGCAGACCACCAAAATGATTGTAAACAACCAACCAAAAGTTCATCACCATGCAAACCCTTGAAGAAAACTAACAATTTAATTTGAGCTGTCTTATTGCAAAGGTAATTATCAAAATTGACAGAAAAAAAATGAATATAGACAGAGGAATTATCACACACATAGATGCAATGATGATTCAATTGGACAAAAATTGAATTTTATTTATGGAATAAATGTAACGTGAACTCCAAATTCAAACAATAAACCAAGCTTGTTCTGTAGTGTTCATATATTCATTCCTTTCATGTAATCTTGTTTAGTGGCAAATTCCATCTAAAACTTTTATTGTATCGACTAAACTATTTAGAAAATAATTATTCTTCCTGTAATTTGTGTAAATTAATATTCCAATTGCCTATAATTTATTTATATTTGTTTTCACTAAACAGAAAGTTCAACCAAATCTACCTAATCTAGATTTTTAGTTGAGATGAAAAAAAGTTAATGGCACGAGTGGGATTGGAACCCACAATCTTCGGCTAGATACGTGGGGTTGAGATAGGAAGTTGATGTTCGAGTGGATCGAGGTCACGATAGCTCAAGTGGTAGAGCAGCGGCGTATCTAGCCGAAGATCGTGGGTTCCAATCCCGCTCGTGCCATTAACTTTTTTTCATCTCAACTAAAAACCTTAATTAATTGTCATGTATTAATTGGTCAAGCGGACCACGAAAGTAGTGAATTAATACCTAATCTAGGTTTAACCATGAGCTGTTTTTGTACTTGCAAAATTATAAACAAAGTAGCCAGAATTTTGGTTTTCACATAAAATCTTATTTTAAAATCAAAGGAAATGAAAACTTTATAAGGTTAAAGAGTTTTTAAAGAATTTTGTTGGAGCTTAAAATTTTGATATTATCCTTAGGCCGCCTTAAGCCATATGGTGAAAATAAATTAACTATATTTTTATCCTGTTTTCTAGCCCTAGAAGATTTATTCCAGTCAATTAAACTCACCATACTCTACAGAATTTTAAACTGCCAAACGTTTAGTTGGTTGCTTATTCAACTTAGCTTATTCACAATAAGTCTTGTCAGTGCTCTCACTCAAGCGATTCTATTCAGTTGCCCAATCAACCAGTTTGATATGCTGGCTGATTCCTTTCAAACTGAAAAGTCGGCCAACTACCAGCAGACTATTTATTGTTACTTGTCGACTAATCAATCAGTGATCGATATGATAAATTAAACCTGTTTGAATCAATAATAATAGATTTCGGTGGCAATGTGTAAAACACTGGGCAAAAGTTGACTAATGACTGCAAATACACTGAGAAATTGGTCAATATTGGACAGTCTGCACACAGCCAACCAAACTGTAGACGTTTTCAATTTAAAGAAATTACCTTTTGTCATTTAGGCCCAATACTTAGCTAATAAATATCAACTAAATTTAAACCATCAAACTGAACAATTTGTTATAATATGTCAATGTTGAACAGCTTAATATATTAACTTACAATTAATTAATTAATAATTAATAAATATAAAACTCTGGAAATAAATTAAAAAACCAGAATTGTAATGAAAATATATTGAAATAAAATTAACTTGAAAACAGCACAATTTTTACTGTGTGCCATAATTAAGGTTAACTATAACTACATTTACAAATTTTAAAAAAATTCTAACTGGATGATTTTAAAATTTAAATTTGATTAATTATTTTTACATGTGTGCAGCAAAAAACAACAATAAAACAATTCCATCATCGTTAAAGCTAAAACCTAAATCAGTACTATGAACAGAATAATTCAATAGAAAAATGAAATAAAATTACAATAAAGTTAATGGGAAGGAGAACCTTTCGTTACAGCTTCTTAAGTTTTACACCGTTCACTGAAACACCCTGATCAATTTTGTTTGACTGACATTTTTAATAGAATATGCATAGATTTACCAGTTATTAATATTGAAAAATTGTTCACCTAGTATTTTTTTAATTTACTATTTGAAATATAAAAACAAATCTAAAAGCTAGTTGTGAAAAGAAAATACGTGTGAGACAAAATTTTCATTTAAAACGACACATTTTGATAGAAAAATAACTGCTGTAGAATTTTCCTGTTGTGAATAGACCACCGTTATAAATGGGTGGTTGATGTTAAATTCACGTACAAATTCAAGCATGCAAAGTTCAACTTCAATTCCTATTAAAAACAAAACAAAAATCATTGATAGTATTTGTTCAATGAAATTGCAAGAAAGATTCCTTTACTTCGTACTTTCTTACTTTTATTTATGTTACTTTAATATTTTATAACAACTATTGAAGATGGATAATAGAGTTAAATGAAAATAAATTAAAAAGTCATGCATAAAAAGAGATTATATTTGACAGAAAATTATTACTCAAACATCATAATTTTTGATAGAGTATGAACCACTGGTGTGTTTTCTTGAAGTGAATAGAGTACCATAATAAATGGATGGTTTACATTAAATATTATTTTCTTTAGATCAATAATCAAGGAAACTGGGAAAACCAATAAAACTCCTAAAAACAAAAAACATTAATTGTTGATTAATAATAATGGTCCACTTGCATGAGATGACTACTATTTAAGAAATTGTCATGTTAATTATCATCCATGATTTAATGAACAGCAAATCATGCGTTGGCATAGAACTATTTTCATTTCTTAAAACAACAGCTAAAAGTTATGCTTGTGAAATATTGAAATTAATGCAAGCAGCAGTTAATTTTGTAACTACAAGGAAAATAATTTATTTATATGTACATCAAAATTTTACAGCATTATGATAAAAATAAAATATAGTATGACTTAGCACTTCAATTTGGTATCAAAATAAAACCAAAGAAGTAACATTAGAGCAAAAAGAAATCTTGTTTAATTATTAATAGCAATATGCTGTTACTATGTTTTTATCATTAAATATTAACTGATATTTTTATTTATACAGAGCATTAATGAAAATATTAATTAAACCATTATCATTATTTTAAAAACTAAGACGAAAGGAAAACAAAGCAGTACCAGAATGAAAGGCTCTATCTGTAAAAATTTATTTATTTGCATGAGGGGTAAAGGGTGGATGGACGGGTCTGTGGTGGAATATGTAGTACGGCAGAACTTTCAAACTAGTTAGGTTAGGTATAGAATAGTTTCCTTTCTTCCTGTATGTGTGTGTTGTTGTAATATTGATTTACAAGGAAAAAGCTACATGTTATGTATCCCAAGAAGTAAGAAAAAAAA